AGTCTTCCTGTCTCAACTTCTAGAGCACTGAGATTACAAATGTGAGCTATCATGTTTAGAAAAAAAAAAAAAAAAGTTAAGCTACTGTGATATCTCTTTAAGGAATATAGAATTATAAATGTTCTTTTTTATGTATTCATACATCCATACCATTTTCGGCATGCTTTTGGTAAACGATTAACATTAGTTATTAATCATCCAATAAACTGAAATTTTCTGTATTTCAAGAAAAATAAGCTCAGTATCCTGAAGGAGATAGGTACAAAGATTCAAGATAAATCCTGTAATATTCGCCTCATGGAACTCCTATTCTCTCAGGAAAACTAACATGAACATTTCTAGAGAGCAGTGTGAAGATTGCACCAGTAGGTCTATGTGGAGAGCTGTTCTAAGAGTCAGACCATTTCAGATTAAGGAAAAGTTATATCTATGTACTTTAATCTGAATAAAAGTTGCTCTTTTGCAAATGGTTTTATTTGATTCTTAAATCCAAGCCAGCCTCTTGAAGGAGACACCATTTAAAGCACTTTCTCGTTCCCATTTAAGATAGTATTCAGGGAAGCTAAGTAACTCAGCCCCACAGAGCTAACAAGAGTCAGAAGTCTATGGAACGCTGGGCTCCTGCCTGTGCAGTGTTCAGCACTGATATGAGCACAGTGGATGTTAGTGCCCTGTTCCTTTCTACAGACCCATGATTGAATTATTAGTGCCGTAATCGGGTTAGCTCACACTGATAACTGTTAACCCACAAAATCATCATACTCGTCAATTCCTACTTCTTTAGCTACAGATGAATCATCACAGGCTCTTTATTTAGTGGTAATAGAGATGGTATGAGCCCAAAGGCAAGGTCTCACTATTAGTAGTGAGATGTCCCTTAAGTAAGTAGATACTTTGTCATCTTAGCCCTTGCTGGTCACAGGGATAAGGGTGAGGTCCTACATTCCTGTGCCTACACATCAGCTGAAAGGAGAAATACAACTCTGGTCAAAAATGTGTTCCCAAATGCCAGTGCAACACATGGCTGTCATTTCACTGCTGAGTAAGCAGTAGGTTCTTCCTCTGAGCAGAGGCACCCTGAGGAGCTGTCATAAGTGGCTTAGCCACAGAGGGGTGCTGCCCAGCTGATCCCAAGCACTGATCAACCAACAGCTCACCCAGAGAAAACCAAGTGTATCTGTCTACCACTGAAGAGGTGGTTTTCACAGCAGGAAGCTCACCCCTAACTCTTGGGTAAACTTTGGACCTGAGATTCTATTGACCTTGGCTCCTCACCCTAGAAGGAAGCCATGAAAAAACGTAGCACATTCTGAATGAATTTATGTGGTAAAAAACCTGAAATCCAGATTCATAGCACTACCAGTGCCTAAAACTGTGAACAGAGCAACCACTGGAATTCAGAAAGGGGACAAGGACTGAGACTTTTAGCCTGAGGCTAAAGCCTGGTGTGGCTCCCTTAAGGTCACTGAATTGTGCCTCCTCTCCCAAAATCCATGGATTAAAACCCTAATCCTAATACCTTTGAATGTGGATGTATTTTCACAAGATAATTAAGTTGAAAAGGGCCATTAGGGTAAGGCCTGATCCATTCACCCAGATATCCAAAGGTAATTTAATGCCAGAGACAATAGGAGCCAAGCTTGGTGGGACAGCATTGTAATCCTAGCACTCAGGAGGTTGAGGCAGAGGATCAGAAGTTCAAGGTTCCCTTCTGGGCTACATAGTGAGTTTGAGACCAACTTAGGAGACATGAGATTCTGTCTCTGAAAACAAAAACACGACAAGGATGTGTGTGCACTCAGAGAGAAAATGCCACAGGAAAGCATAGGAAGGACGTGATCACCTGCAAGCCAAGGAAAAAGGCCCGAGGAAAAGCCCAGCCTGGCAGCACCATGATCTTCAGATTGTAGCCTTTGGAATGGGAGAAAATAACGTCAATTCTTTAAGACAGCCAACGAGGATAATGTTGTAGCAGGCCTAGCAAACTAGCACAGTCCCAACAGGGTGGCCGTGGGCAAATTCCTGAGGTCTCTGAGTTTTTCTTTTCTTCACCATTGAAACAGGGAAAGGACACCTCATGCAACTGCAATTTTATGCTGAAAATCCCTACCAGAGTGCTTGGCCCAAGATAGGCCTGCCATCCCAGCTTGTAAGGAAACCCAGTGGCTAGCGTTGGTCTTTGGAGGGCCTCAGGGTCAAGAGAAACTTTGGAGGCTGCTGTTGCAGCTTGTGAGGATTTTTGCCAGTAATATGTGGATCAGCCTTTTGTGAAGATCTCTTTTCCTGGAAAATACCAGGAGTTAAGACAATAAAGCGGCCCCTCTTTGGGGTCCACATTGGCCTTACATCATCCTGTTCATTTGCTCCTTGCCCTGGGGAAGCATGATTCATGCAACTTGAAGCTGACACAGAGTTCTTTGTCCTTGGAGACCATAGGCACTTACCTTTCCCACATTGCTGGGATCCTTCAAGGCTTGGCTGTGGAGGCAAAGAGCTGGGGTGGCCTCCAGGCCATTAAGTGTCCTTTCTCCTTATTGGCCAGCAGGTGGCGCAAGAGTTCCACCCTGAAAGGGCAGATCGAAATCTGGAATGCCACAGGCTGGCTACTACTGTGTCCTTCGTGTGGGGTGTTGTGAAGTTTTAGTCTCTGTCTCTAAGACAGTTCTCTATTTGGAGCCCCTTTTCTCAATCTACAACATGTAAATGTGACTATTTTATAGGAAAATAAAGAGGAGACAAAAAAAAAATGCAGGCAAGGCCTTCATATCACTCTTTGTAGAACCAGGAAGTGAATATCTATTCTGCAAGAAGGGAAAACATCTTCAAAGGAGAATAGAAAAGGGGAAAGTGGCAACCAAAGACAGTGTAACCAACAGAAGAGACAGGGGATCAACCGTGGCTAGAGCGAATCCTCCCTAAAGAATTTCCAGTTCCTTCATCACATGTGAGCACCAGTCTCCATCTTAAACAGTCTTCAGTATGTTGCGTTTAGTGAGCCGTGTTTGCCATGGTGCATGACTGTGAGAAGACTTGGTTGCCATCCTCTGTTTTGCCCATGCTTCCTCACCCTTATCTCACACGGGACTGAAACTGTCATCAACTCTGAATCTGTCACATAGGAAGCCTTCCATTTATAAAATGACCCTGGCAACTGTATTCAAAAGACAACTGGTTAAATATTAACCTATTAGGAAACCACATATAGTGCTAGGATAATTATCTGTGTGGAAAAAGCAGACCCGGTCCATACTTTATATCATTTGAAAAAATTGACTGCAGATAGACTTCAAGATGAATGCAGTGTGAAGCCCCAAAGCCTTCGTAAGAACATGTAGTAGTCATTGGGAAGAAGCCAGCTTCTGCAATATGTCACAAGCCTTAGAAAAGAATGATTGACAAATTAAACTCCACCAAAATTAAGGAATTCAGGCTCCCAAAAATATTTCATTAGGAAAATTAATGGCAAATCTACAGAATGGAAGAAAATGTTTGCAAAATACATCAGACAAAAGGCTGGTATCTAGGATGTGAATATAATTTCTACAACTCAATATTTAAAAAAAGAAAGAAAGAAAAGAAAGTGAGGTGGGCATGGTGGCACATGCCTTTAATCCCAGCAGTTGGGAGACAGAGATAGCAGTTCTTTGTATGTCTCAGAGGCCGGTCTAGTCTACATAGCAAGTTCCAGGCCAGCCAGGGTTAAACAGTGAGACCCTGTCTCAAAATCCAAACAACACAAATCAAAATACAAAGAAAGTGGGAAAAAATGTCAAAGTATTGAGCAGACACTTCCAGGACAATGCGCAAATGACCAGTTAGTACTTCCAACAATCCTCCTGCCTCAGCCTTCCAAGCGCTGGGATTGCTGGCATGAGTCACTGCACTTGGCTTAGAATGACTAGACATAAAAATGCAGGTAGAATCAAATTTTAGGGAGAACGTGAATCATGCATAACTTTGCTGGGTTTTTTGGTTGGGGGCATACAGTAGAATGAACCCCTCAGGAAAAGGTCTGGTGGCTTCTTATAAAACTAAATATAAGTCAGCCTTATCATAGAGTAGTATTATCCCTTGTTTTTTATTCAAGAGAAACAAAAACACATGTCCATAAGATGACTCATAGAAGAATGCCCATAATAGTTTTATTCATAAAAACCCCAAATTGAAGCAACTACTTTGTCCACCAATAGGAAAATAGATAAACTTTGTATATTCATGCAGTAGGATGTTATGCACTGAAAAATGATAAAAAAAATACATTCAATCATATGCATGCTGATGTGTGTAAGGGATTTTAGATATTGTTCTAGTTGGAATTTATCAAAAATAGATTGAGAGAGATAACTGGATTGGTAGATATGTGGCACACAAAAACTAAAATATTAGTGGTGAAAGCTAAGTAGTGTATCTACTTCTACTGTAAAATACTTCTGCTTTGACATATATTTGAAAATTTTCATGAAGAAACCTACTCAAACACTTTTATTTTTCTATTTATTATTTTTATTTTTATGTGTATGAGTATATTGCCTGCATGTATGTAAGTACACCTGTGTTGTGCAAAGCCCACAGAGGTCAGAAGAGGGTGTTAAATCCCCTGGAACTGGAGTTTTGGGTGGTTGTGAGCCACCAAGGAGGTGTTGGGATCAAACTTGACTCATCTGCAAGAGCTGTCAGTGCTCTTAACTGCTGAGCCAACTCTCCAGCCCCCATAATCAGACTCTTGGGCTCAGTGTTTCAAGGTGCTATTTGACGTGGTTATCTGCTTGGTGCTTGGCACAAATAATCTCTTGCATCAAAGAAACTCACTTAGTTTTCTCATGAAATGGTGACTCTCTCTAGTCCTTAACTGAGTTACAAAGCTTAAATGGACCTAACCTGGGGGCTTGTGGGTTATAGACATACATTTTTTGTATTAACAGATATGTCTTGTTTCCATTTCTGAAGGTCTCCTAACCCCGCCTGTCTTTCTCTCTTCACCCAACATTTTCTCCATGCAGAAATCTTCCTGCCATCCTCGACTGGGTGAAGACTCAGAAGCCTGGAGCCATGGGTGTCAACATCATCACATCTGACTTTGTAGATCTGGTGGACTTTGCCACAACTGTGATTGAGTTGAATGAACTCCTGGAGGACAGAGCTCTGACTAAATGTTGAATTAATGCCTTGTTTAATTGATGTTGAGGTTGTTGATCCAGGATAGCATTCTGGAGAGTTTCCCATTAGGATGGTTCCTGGGCAGTCATGGTGAAGTGAGCACAGGAAGAGGGCCTTTTCCCACTTCCTCACATAGCCATTTGGGTAAAAATCTGGGGCTTTTCAATGCATTTTTCCCAAATGAGACTTTTAAAAACTCAAGTCCAAGGGAAGCAAGAATATTTATTTGATCAAGGTCAGGATTTCCCCAATGGCTTATGGCAGTGAATGAAATATGGAGTACAGTTTCCAGGTTCCATCGGGAGAGGCATCATCCTAACTGGCCCAGCTTCCTATTGTCTTCTGGGGCTTTGTGTATGAGCCAGTGAGAAGGCTAAACCAGAAAGACATTCCTGGCCAGAATGGCTCATGGGGGTGTAGATGACCCAGTGAGAGGTATCTAACATCAACCTGCAGCTCTGAGGGGCTCCCAGAGCCAAGCACCAGTTCTCTTTTGTCCAACAGCATCACTTCTTCCCTAAGAGAGCAAGATGCATTCATTACCACAGTGGTCTAGCCATAAGCCAGCTCTGCATTGCTTGTGCTGGTAACTGGTCTCCTTAATTTCTTCAGATAAACAGTGCATACTGCCCTTGACATCAGAAACAGGTTTCCCCATTTTAAAGTATTGATTCCTTTCCCTTTCTTTTGTGTCCTCCCCTTCCCCACCTCTTAAAAATGAAAGGACCAGTACCAGGAAATCTTTTCTGTGCAGGGCCCAACAAAGAGCCAAAGGTGCATGTTTGTTGCATGCCAGAATTCTATTATTTAATTATGTAGCTTTCTCTCAAAACAGCCATCAGGCAAGCACCTGCATCATTTGGGCAAAGTCCTCTTTGGAGTGAGGTCTTCAAGTCACGTATTGGAATCACATTTCATGGTTGTCTGCCTGGGACCTGATCTGCTGTGGGACACAGTGCTAAGTGGAAGGCTGCTTGTCCATGACACCGTGAAGGCTAACACAAGATGTGTGGGAACGTGCAATGGCGTTAAAGGAGGAAGCTCCAAGTGGCTTTGGAGTCAGTCCATAACTCCTTGAAAACAAGACTACCTCGGGGACATTTAGGATGACTTGTGTGTCATCAAGGGAGAAATAAGCAATGCTGGAACATATCCACTTGTCTTGATTCATTCTACTTTCTGTAGGTTGTTCTGCCTACTAAGCACCACTACATGAGGGCTTCGAAACTCAAGAGGTTTTTTTTTTTTTTTTTTTATTTATTTACACATAAGTCCTTACCAAGCAGTGAAGTAAAGCAGAGGCAGGACTTATCCAGATCTAATCTGTGATAAGGGGGATTTGAAAATTAAAAAGGTTTTTTTTTTTTTTTTTTTAATTGATAAGAGGTGCTTTTTACTGGTAAGAGCCCTCTTGTGTTTTATTTGCTTTATTTATGTATTTATCCATTTATTTATTCATAGAATAGGCATTTGCAGTGCTTCTTACCTCAAGAGCACTCACATAGACATTTACCGGGCTTACTCTACCAAGGATGGATGCTACTGCGGTCTTCCTTCTTTGCACAAGATGGTGCATCTCAGGACTGTGCATGACCTTGTACTCTGCTGTAGCTGCTCTGCCCCACCCAGTCCTGCTGAGGACAGTCCACCTGTGTGGATGTGGCTCAGATACAGAAAGCCACTATCATGCCATGCCCTGGGACAGATGTCGAAATGGGTCATGAAGATGCTCAGTTCTCTACATAGGCACTCCTATACAGTGTTGGAAAGAAAGGAGTTAGACATAAAAACGTCCTGCTTTGATGCCCCTCAGTCCTATCTGAGACTCCCTAAAGGAGGTATCAGCTTCTGAGTTCTTAAAGCAAGCAATCCTAGGTAAAGGTGAGCATTTTTAAAGATTGCTGGACTCTTCACCTAGTAGTTTCTGCATTTATTCCTTGATTTCATAGCCAGATTTTGCATGCTGCCTGCAGTGGGATGGGGGATTATGCTGGGTAAGCTGCTGGAAGCACACACATGCCCCCAATTCTTTGTCTTCTAGTCTTTTCTTTTAGTAAAGTAATTTAGGCCTTGGCTTTTCACTTCCACAGCTCAAGGAGGGCATAGCATAAACTCCTCTAGGAAAACGTGGGTTAACTTTTCCTGTTCTTGCATTTGAACTCCTCCCGAAAGAGGCTTCTGGAATGATCTTGTCAGGTTCAGCAGAGCCTTCTCTGACTGGGGGTTTCTCATCAGCTAGGCATGAGTTCCCTCACCATCTTAATTTCCCTTCAGTTCTGCTATTGAACCCGCAGGTTTTAATTTTCATTCTTATTGTTCCATTTTGGGTCAGTTACCAGGGTCTAGATCATTCCCCCTCTGTTAACCCTTTGTTACTTGGCAAAGAGATAAGGAGGCAAGAGAATAGTTCTGCTCTGTTTGATTTGAGCCTCAGCTTTGTCTAGGTGCTCGGTGCTATGAGACCAGGTATGTTCGCCAGTATCTGTACCAGATGCCAGCAACACCTTCAGGCTGCTGACTGTTCAGTGAACTGTTTACTTGATTTTCTCCCCTTGTTTTTAAATATGTAGTTGTACATCACTCATATTATGACATCAAGTGTGCCTCGATGTTTGTACGTGAAAAGTCATTAAGTGTGACACAGAAGAACAGGATACTCCAGTGTTGGATGCATGCCTGGAGCCCACTCTGCACCATGGGTACAGGAGCTCACTCCTTCCTGCGGCTTTAAATTAGCAGCCTTGCTTATATGTTGAAAGCCTTGGAGGTAGGGGAAGGATTGTTCAGTTTTACCCAGTTAGTACTCAGCTCTCTGCCCCAGACAAAGGCTTTCTATGCTGCGAAAGCTGTGTGCATTCTGCTCCTTGACTGTGAGGTGGGGCAGGAACTCAGGTAGAACAGAGAGAAAACAGTTTTCTCACTCTGCAATGGCCACCAGTAAAAACACTGACCCAACCATAAGTCCTAAGAGTCTTCCAGATCAAAATAAAATCATAATTGCTCAGAATTAACTTCAGGCGCAGCTAAAAAGTTACTTGACTTTGTTTCACAGAAGTTGGGGACAGTTTTATTTGGAAGTTTAACTGAGGTCTGTATGAGCTCTCTACATCATTCCAACACAGCCGTGTTTCCATGAGTTGATGGCTAAGGGCCTCCCAGGTTTCAGTAGGTTAAAGCAGTATCTATCTAAAGGCTTAAACTTTGAACTTCCCAGAAATTCCTTGCGTAGTATAGATAGAGGCAACATTTTGGGGGCTGAAGAGAGAGGTCAGGATGAGCCTGAGGGAAGGGCAATGTGAGTGTTTGAGAATTCAGATTTCTATCATGACAGACCTAAGAGGGTCATGCAAAGTTTTTGTTTTTGTTTTTCACATTTGCTGCATGAAATTTGATAGTCATTGCTTAGATATTTTCTTTTGTGCTGAGTCTGGACCACTGAAGTTTTTAGACCTGTTAATCTACATATAAAATACAGGATTTTATGTAAATGCAAGGAAAAGTACAAGATCTGAGCAGAATCGCAGATCTTTCATAACCTCATATTCACATAAGAAAACTTTATGCTTTTATCCAAGAGGTCAGTGTGGTGAAGTATTCTGAACTTAAGTGCAGCTTTCTGGTGTGCTGGGATTTCTGTGTGGATTTTTTGCTCTTAGCAGTAGAAAGTGTTTCCAAAGAGACATGATACCACCCAGGTAGCGGCTTAGCACAAAGCCGAATTGGAGACCCAGAAGAAACTTGACTGAAATGAGGCTGCTTCTTTCCTCAGAAGCAGAAGGGCTAACAGGGAAATCATTGCAGATTGAGTTCCTGCTTCAGTTGAAATTGTATAAAGTTCTTGATTATCATGACATTCCCTTTCCTTAGCTGAGCAAGTGATCCTGGGCTAAATTGTCCCTGACTCTTTCATCTGTGATAATGATGCTGTCTGCTACTTCAGTTGAGCATATTTGCAAACCTCAACTGACTAGCTTACAAAATAGAAGGTCTCTATTGCTTAGCTTAAATGCCTTACACTCAGAGGATGCACAGTCTTGGTGACTGTTCTTTCTGCGCCTGTGTGCAGAGAATACTAGTTGAGTTCATTGTCACAAAGTGTGGCATAGGCTGATAGAACTGGACCAAGCATTATACCTTCTGTGGTCCAAGTAGTATGAGGGACTCAAAGAAATCTGCCAGAATGTATGTGGGCCCCTGAGAGGTGGGCTTTCTCAATACATGCTAAGTAACCTTGTTATATCAAGAGGAAGCTGTAGACATTGAGGACATCAAATATCCAAGCCGACAGGAAGTTTGTTTGTTGTGGTATGGATGTCCCTCTAGATTCTATTGACTGTCTAGTGCCTCTTGACCCTCTTCCTCAGCTGGTTCCTTGTGGTTGCTACCATAATTTTATCATTCAAAATTGTCACCTTGGAACACACGAGAGTAAACTGATTAAGTAACAAGTAGTGCAGATGGAAGGCTTCCCCTTAGTTCCAGATGGTTCTGATCAGCTCTTACTGCCCCAAGAAACCTACTGTTTCCTCAGCTTTGGGTACCCCAGCTTCCTGCTCGAAGCAGTGACACTAATGGCACTATATTTCTGAACTAGCCCGAACTCAGCACCATACTCCACAGAATGCTACAGATTTTCTTTAAACTGCAAAGTCTTAGACACTGTAATAATATTCTAAGATAATGCTATCCTGCTCCATATGTGGTATTTTAGCACCTGTTTCAGCCAACTTGTTCTTAGGACTTTTAAACTCATTTTTAAGCAAAATGCTTGGACTACACCATTTCCCTCTTCTCTCATGGGAAGTAAGACCCTCTGTGGAGGCAACTGCATCACCAGTCTAGAGGCATTTTCTTTCATTCCCTTCATAGATGGCTACTTCCTCCTTTTATATCCTGGCATCCTCCATCATCTTCCAATGATTCCTTATCAGGAGGTGCTGGCAAAAAGCACATGCATTTGATGATCTCCAACACAGTTTTACCATAGGATCATTGTTCCTTATCCTTCTCAAATACATCATTCTGCCCCCACCCAATCATTAGAACTGTACTTAATTGGAGTCCTGAAGTTGGGACCAATACCTAATTCAAACAGCACAGGCTTGCTCACAGCATTAACCCCTCTAAGAAGCACAGCACTTTGAAAAGTCAAATAGGCCTTTGGTAGCTCTTGTACATTTGCAATTTCACACCTGTTATTAGTTTATAGCACTAATAACGCTTCAGTTATGGATCTACAGCATCAATATAATAAATCTTAGAACATTGCCTTGCTGCTACTATACTTACTAATTAATACCCTAATATGAATAAGTATTAAATACAAATTGTGTATGCATTATTTGTATTGTGTATATATCAACTGTAATAATATTTAGCCTCCCTGATCAGTACTTTTAAAAATACAGACATTGTCATAGCGAAAATAAGTCACGATCAGGTTAAATAATTCATGTATCTGATATATGCTCTGGTAGATATTATATTTGTCTTCCATTACTTGTTTACACTACAGTGCATGGAGTTTGCAAAACCTAAGAAGTAATAATAAAATTTGCCAATTTTGAAATTAGGGTTGAAATTGTGCATATATACTACTTGAGACTCTGAAATGTATTTTATGGCTTGATAATTGTATTTACGTACATTTTCACTTAGCTTCTTTCCCTCTAGGAAATAGTTGTTCAAATGTATTTCTTACCTTCTTTCTTGTAACCTAGATTAAATTGCTTCTTTCAACCTGAAACATTGTGAAGCCACAATACCTCATCTTAACTGTGAAAAATATATTCATAGTTATGATCACATGATGTGTTTCCTTGTATTTGATTTGTGCTACTTGAAGAACCTTAAGCCTAATAATAAATGTGAATCATTAATAGGCATATTTCCTTTGTTTGAATGGACATTTTTGTTATTGACCTACTTTTAATTCTGTTTTAAAGAGCTATATATTCAGTGTCAGTAAAATCCAGCTAAACACACCAGCAGTCCTTAAGGTGGATAGTGTGGAGAATGTGCACTCAGCCCTGTCTACCATGCTTCTCCAAGATCCATCCTTAGCACTTCAGTTATTAATGTTAGCTCAAACCTTTTAATAACCATATCCTACTTGATAACTGCAGCATCAATAAGCCACATGCAATTAAAAAAAAAAAAAAAAGACAGCCTGACTCTTAACATGCATTTTAAGGTTAAGAGCCAGCCAGAACTGCAGAGAACCTGTTCGTTCAGATTTCTCTTGAAC